TGGCCGGTGGGGTGGGGATGGCATGTGGGACTGGAATATGGCAGGAGGGGTCGAAATATGGCAGTTGGGGTGGGGATATGGCAGGTGGGGTGGAAATATGGCAGGTGGGGTGGGGATAAGGCAGATGGGGTGGGGATATGTCAGGTGGGGTGGTGATATGGCGGGTGGTGTGGGGATATGGCAAGTCGGGTGGGGATGGCAGGTGGGGTGGGGATATGGCAGGTGGAGGACGGGGGATTTCGCATGTGCATAGATTACCGCGCACTGAACCGAGTTACCATCAAGTCCCGTTACCCCATCCCGCGAGCCGACGAACTGATCGACCAACTGCGCACAGCCCGGGTTTTCTCGAAAATCGACCTTCGAAGAGGCTACCAACAGATCCATGTCAATCCGCGCGACTGCCCGAAAGCCGCCTTCCGAACCCGCTATGGATCTTTCGAATACACCGTCATGCCATTTGGAATGACCAACGTCCTCGCCACTTTTCATATGACCATGAACGAAGCCTTCCGCCCGCTCTTAAATAAGTGTGTCATCATATACTTAGACGACATACTGATTTACACCCCGGACAGGGCACATCACCTACAGGACATCGAAGCAGTTTTCAAGATACTGAGTGAGAACCGACTACTGACGAAAACACCTAAGTGTGAGTTCCTACAGGACAGACTGGATTTTTTAGGGCACATTATTTCAGCCGACGGAGTGGAAATAGACCGCGACGATTCAAGCTCGGCACGCACCGACATATCTGACCGAACTGCAGAGTTTTTTTGGATTCGTCAACTACGTGCGCCGGTGCGTTCCCGACATGGCGAAGCTGACTGCCCTACCGATGGACCTGCTGAGGAAGGGGGTTGAGTACACGTGGGGGGAGAAAGAGCAAGCTGCCTTCTCGGCCCTCAAGAAAATTTTGTGCTCGCCGCCCGTACTTCACATCGCCGACCCACACCGCCCGTTCGAACTGGTCACCGACACAAGTGACATCGTCGTGGGAGCAGTACTGTTGCAGGACTTACTGGTCGGAGCTGTCGACCGACGTACAGCACTACGTGGGGTCGTGTCCTACGTGCCAGGGGATGAAGAGCCCGCGAAAAAGAAAGGCGGGTTAATTGCAGCCGATTACACCGCCCGAGCACGTCTGGCAGCAGGTTACCATGGATTTCGTCACGGGGTTACCTTCGAGCCCTGGGGGTAACGACGCGGTAATGGTCGTCGTTGACAGACTGACAAAAATGGCTCACTTTGATGCGTGCAGGAAATCGATCTCAGCCGAAGAAACCGCTCGCCTGTTCATCGCAACCGTCGTCCGACTGTACGGGATACCAGCCGCGATAATCAGCGACCGCGACACGAAGTTCACAAGCAACTTCTGGAAGAGCCTTTGGGAGCAGTTCGGGACCAGGCTACAGTTCAGCTCGTCGTATTACCCCGGGACCGACGGTCAAACGGAGCGGACGAACCAGGCCATGGAGCAGCTGACTCGTGCCACGTGCGACGACCCGACAACATGGGAGCAGCAGCTGCCGCTGATCGAGTTCGCGTACAACAACGCCACGTCAGCGACGACGCAGCAGTCCCCGTTCTACCTGAACTACGGGCAAAATCCAACAGTGCCCATGACGCCGAGTCCGGACAACCCCACGCCACGCGCACAACAATTCGCTGAGATCTTGCAAGCTGCCCGAACCAGAGCCGCAGACGCCATCAAGAAAGCCAACATCATCGCGAAGAGAAATGCTGACCGCCCACGCCGCCCGGTAACGTACCTCAGGGGATTATGTACTGCTCGACACACAGAACTTAAGACTGCCCGTCGTACCGAAGCTGCGACCGCGCTACTGTGGACCCTTCCAAATCAGCCACAAGATCACCCCAGTTACTGCCCATTTACTGTTGCCGACGGACTAGTACATCAGCCCATTGTTCCACGTCAGCCTACTTCGCCCGTACATCCCAACCACCAGCTAACTGCCTCGCCACCGCCCGCCACCCATGACTCGCCCTGCATCGGAGCCGATCATCGAGCCCGAGAAGATCCTGAGCCATCAAATTCGACATCCCACAGGCATCCGGAGGATCGAGCTCCTCGTTCGCTTGAAGGACAGCACGCCAACTGAAGATAGCTGGGTGCCCCTGGCCAACATCGAAAACCACCCTGCCCTGCAAGTGTACCTGAGGAGCCGGGGTTTCCGCAATATACATGCACTCGCGTAGCGGAGGGGGCTTCTTGAGGGGGGGGTAGTGTAAGGAATTTTCTCGCCATTCCTTACCGCGACGATCAACATCGCGCACAGCAGCAGCCGGTGTTCGCCCGTTACTGCTAACGGGGCTTCGCCAACTTCGCGCGCACTGTTTTACCAAACCTTGCACCGCTGGGCCGGCCGAGTCGGCCTACGCTTCGGGACTAGCCCAAACATCGATGCCAGCATATCACTAGCTAGCTCGCATGCACCACGTTACCGTTTACATGTTCGCACATAAGTATTCGCCCAATGCTTTCGCTCATGCTTTGTACTCGTTTGACACTTAGTGCAATCCTCGCTTTCGTTCCATTGCACCCGTAACATGTACTCATAACAGCTGCCACCAATTTCAACATTCACTCAAACGCGTCATGTCTTTGGTGATATTCCCTCCCATTCCCGCCAGTGCCAGTACGCAGAACCCACGCTTCAGTTGCCATGCCATGTTCCCTGGGGCAGGCAATTCACCGCCCCACCTCAGTGCAATCGAACTGACAATAGCCAGAGTGAGCATCGCGACCGTGTATTCAACGCATCCAATCCACAGGCCGTTCGATCGGGTCAGGCCAGCAGGTTGAACTGCCAGTAAGGCTACAAGCATGTCATGTAAGTTTAATATGCGGTGGGGTGCGATGTTGTGGATGTCATTTACAGTTCTCTGCGTTTGGATAGGTTTTTGAGGATTGCTGATCCCATGTGCCTCAGTTCTACTCCGAACCACCAACTCATGCTCCAAGCTCCTTCAAACTGGCCTCGCCACCTTCCCATCCTTCAAAGTATAGTCCATTGCCTCAGTGTCATCGCATCTCTGACCGAACAGATTCTGTCCACTGGGTTTCCTCCGCAGCTCAGTCATCCACTCGTTTCAAATCCTTGATCTTGAACCGCTTGATGTCCTTGAGGTGAGATCCATCATTCAACAGTACAGAAGCCTTATCACGGCTAGCAAGTGTTACAATGGAACGACCGTCACCCGTTCGCGCGGATCGCGATCGCGACCGTGAGTGCGAAGAGCTTTCCGCGGAATGCGCTTCCGCCACGGCCCTCCTGGACGACGGCACGCTCTCCCTCGTTCTCTCCTTCCTCCCCTCGCGCTTCGCCATCTCCTCGGCCGCCTTCGTCTGCCGCCGCTGGTGCCGCGTCGCGCTGCGCGTGTGTGTGCGATCGCTCCGACCGTCGCCCTTCCTGCTCGAGAGCTTAGCTCCGGGATCTGAGAGCATCCTAGGCAGCTTCGACTCCGAAGCGCAGATGCTTGAGTTGGCGACGCGTTCGCCGCCACGCTTCGATCTCTGGAAATTCGCCCCGGCGCGAGAAGCTTAATCGCCGCTGACAACGATAAGCTGACGGCCAACGGCATTGTGCGAATCCTTGAAACCGCCTCGAAGCTCGAAACCCTATCTCTGGTCGGTTGCGTCGAGCAGAACTGTCCGACATTTGACTCGCTACCCATGAGAAGTTCACAGTTCGCGACGGTGGTGTTACCAGCCCTGCCACGTCAGCTCAAGCGCCTGGATCTCCGCTCGGACCACTTTCTCTGCCCTGCCGCGTGCGTGGACCTGCGGGGGTTCTGGTTAAGCCCGTGTGAAAATCACGAGATCACATACCCGAGTCATGATCGCGTGTGGGGCCACGCGGACGGCATTCAGCTTGCCGGCTCCTCCACCTTCCCACCTCCGCCACCCCCACCCCCTCCGCGTGCCCGTACGACGGCCCCGCCTCCTCCCCCTCCGCCTCCCCCACCTCCTTCCGTTCCTCCTCCTACTGCTTCTGTCCCTCCTCGCTCTGCCTCTTCCCTCCCGCCTCCCCCCCCTCCGCCTCCCCCACCTCCTTCCGTTCCTCCTCCTACTGATTCTGTCCCCCCTCGCTCTACCTCTTCCCTCCTGCCTCCCCCCCTTCCGCCTCCCCCACCTCCTTCCCCATCTCATCCCCCGCCGCCTCCGCCTCCGTTCCCCCCACCGCCTCCTCCCCTCCCGCCCCCCCCCATCCGAAACCGTCCGCCGCAGCGCTCCTTCCTTTCCGACCTCTACCTGAACACCATCGCAGCCTCGCTCCCTAATCTCCGCGCCTTGAACCTCGACACGCCAGCGGACATCACGGCCGCGTGCGTCGAGCACGTGGCCAGCACACTCCCGCGTCTGACGGCGCTCTCGCTCTGGTCCGACGCCATCACGTGGGAGTCGGTGGCGCTGCTCCTCGCGCTCCTCCCGTCGCTGCGCCGCCTCTCCCTCGTGTCCGCCGCCTTGGTTCCGCGCGCCTTGCCCCAGCCAGGGCGCACAGCGGCGGGTGCAGCAACAGCGCGGGGCAGCGCATGCATCAGCTGGGCGAGAAGTAGTGCGGTCGGATGCTCTATCTCTCTTCTCCTCGCTTTGCCTTGCCTCCCCCAGTGAAGGCGACCCCTTCTGGCGCCCATCAGGGTCGTCCCTGGCGCCGTGCCTCTCCTCCATCCGCCTGTGCCTCTCCCCCCATCGCTCCGTCGCCTGGGATCAGCCTCCCGCCTCCTCCCTGCTGTTCGCCCTCGCTGCTCGCTGCTCCGTCACTGGAACAGAGAAGGGAACCAGCAGCAGCAACAGTGGTGGTAGCGGCGGCAGCGGCAGCGGCAGCGGCAGCGGCAGCAGCGGCGGCAGCGGCGATGGCACCAGCCTCTCTGTCCCACGTCCATCCTCCCCTTCTCTGCGCTCCGTCCACGCCCACAATTCCCCCGCATCCACGTGGCAGGCTGTGAGCCACCTGTTCCACCACCTCACCACTATGGATTTGTCCCGAACTGACGTGCTGCGCCCCCCACCCCCTCCCTACGGCGAGCCGGAGAGGAGCGAGGAGGCGCTGTGCCGGGCCATTCGGGGCCTGCCTCTCTTGGAACGCCTCGCCCTCCCCTTGGCGTCAGACGCTGTTCTGCTGGAGATCTCGCAGTTCTGCCCGAAGCTCACTGCCTTGCACGCCCAGCCGCTAGCTCGCTTCATCCCTGTCGCCTCTGCTGAGGGAAGTGGTACCAACGACTTTCTGTACTACACCTCCTCGTATGCCAGGGCCTCCGTGCGTGTTACCCTTCCTCCTGCCCAGCCGCGAGTGACCGATGTTGGGGTGGTGGCTATTGCGAACGGATGCACGCGATTAGTGCAGCTGAGTCTGGGCGGCTGTGTGAACGTGAGACCCGCGGGGTGGCGCCAGCTGGCGAGGAGATGTAGGCGGCTGGAGGTGCTGAGGCTGGCGCGCACACGGGTGGACGATGCGGCTGTTGTGGCGGCGCTTTTCGGCGACAGCTGGCACGGCGGCGTGGGAGTGGCTATGAACGCTGCGGTTGGCAGTGCTGCTGCCACCGCGGCTGGGGCTGCCCCTGATATCTCACCTAGTTCTGACGCCACTGCTGGTGCTGGCAGTGCTGCCGGTGCGCCACTGCAGCTGCAGCTGCCACAGCTCCTTCTGCTGGACCTCTTTGGATGCCCGTGGGTGACTTCTGCCCTCCTGCTCGCTCTCTCAGCAGCAGCCAGGGAGCTTGTGGGCAACGATGAGAAGAACAGAGATGATGTGGGGCATGAGAAAGGAAGGAAGGAGGTGCGAGGATACTGTGGGTTGCAGGATTTCAGGCTGAGACGCCTGCTGGTGTCTCCTGAAGTGATTACTGGAGATGGGTGGAGGGGGAGCAAGGAAGGTGGAAACAAGGATGTGCTGGGGGGTGGAGATGGTGGAGGAGTGGGTTCTGGGTATGTGGATTTGAGGCTTGTCGCAAAGGAGGTAGGGATGCTGTTGCCCAAGTTGGTGGTTACTGCGAAAAGGACTGCGGAGCATGTTTTGCCATGGGATGGCTTTTTTGGAGAGCCAAGGCTTGAGCTGGATGGTGACGATGATGAGAGTCAGTGATTGCTTACTTATGCACATAGTAATTATGCATTGTGAATTGGGAGAACACCTTCTTCTACCTTACCACCCCGGATAGTGGTGCACCTGCAAGTATAACAAAACGTGTTTTTTCATAGGCCGCCACGTGCTGCCCCTTCCCCCCCCCAACCCTTTTCCTCCCTTCCCGCGCCCTGTTCTGCCGCGCGCACGTCAGCTGCAGTTGCACACCCATAGGCGTTTCTCACGGCGGCTGGCAGCCGCAGTCACCTCTCCGAGCGAGTCACCTATTTTTTTTTTTTGGTTGGCTTATACGACTCCGTCGTAACCCCGGGACAGGACTAGGCCTGACCAAGGTAGCCCCGAAGAGAACCGCGCCCCAGGGGAGTGAGTCACCTAGTTGTTTGTCAAGAACAGAATGATGTTAGACTAAGGTTGGTTGACAGTAGGGTGGGCAGCACTAACAGCGTCAGACTCAGGGTCGGGAACGTCAGGAAGAGAGGAAGCAGGAGGAGACGGCAGAGGGACACGCTGTGGAACAGAGGAAGGACGAAGTGCCATGGTGTGCGTGCCAGGCACAGGAGGAGGACGTGGACGCGGAACACGACGGGCAGTGCGACCAGCGCGAGCAGTGCTACGAGCGCGAACAGGAGAGGCAGGACGAGACTTAGGTGCACGACGCTCAGTAAGCGAGTCAGGCTGCGCAGTGTAAGGTGCTGGAGCAGGCAGCGGAGAGCCAAGCTGTAACGGTAGACAAGTAGAAGACGGGAGTGTAAGAACCTGACGAAGCACGGAGTCAGGCGGCGGGAGAGACGACGGCGACGGCGGAGCGAAGAACAGTCGCGGCTGTGCAGTGCCACCAGTACCTGTAGCTCCAGCACCTCCAGCACCTCCAGCAGCTCCAGAATTGCCAGCGCCAGCACCTCCCGTACCAGCGCCACCAGCAGCAACACCCCCAGAACCGAAACCTCCAGTCCCAGCGTCACCAGCAGCTCCATAACCTCCAGCGCTAGCACCTCCTGTACCAGCGCCACCAGCAGCAGCACCCCCAGAACCGACACCTCCAGTCCCAGGGTCTCCAGCCTCAGTGTCTCCAGCAGCAGCACCCCCAGACCCAGCACCTCCAGCCCCAGCAGCTCCAGTACCTCCAGTACGAGCACCTCCGGGACTAGCGACGCCAGCACCTCCAGCAGACAAAGAACCTGCACCACTCTCAGGTCCAGTGATGTCAGCAGAAGCCCCACCAGTGGCAGAGCCCCGAGCTCCAGCAGCGCGACCCTGACGGCTAACGTACCACTCGTGGAGCTGCTGTGGGGAGAGAGGCTCACGCCGACGAGTGTGACTACGTAGGCGGCCACTCCAAGGAGACCGCTCACCAGCAGTCGCAGTACCCTCAGGCGCAGTATCCTCAGTCTCAGCACTCCCAGACCCAGTGCCCCCAGGCTCCTCACGCGCAGGCTCAGCACCCCCAGGCTCCGCACCCCCAGGCTCGGCACCCCCAGGCTCCGCACCCTCAGGCTTAACACCCCGAGCAGGACCACCCCCAGTAGGACCTGAGTCACCAGTGACCTCAACAGGCTCAGTCAAGGGAGGGTCAACCTGAGACACACCTGAAGGAGCAGGACCTGGAGGGGGAAGTGGGACTACCTGGGGAGGACCTAGAGCGAGAAAGAGCGGCGCGGGGGGGGGGAGAGGGGAAACGCGGTAGGGAAAGAGGCGGTAAAAGGGGACCGACTCGTCGAAGGTGACGTCCTGAGACGCAAAGACACGGCGCGAGGCGGGGTCGTAGAACTGCCAGCCAGGCGCGTCAGGGGGAAAGCCAAGGAAGACACAGGGAATGGCGCGGGAGGAGAGCTTGTCCGCAGTGAGATCGCGAACAAAGGCACGAGCACCCCAGACCCAGAAACGCGACGCATCGCCAACCTCCCCCGTCCAACGTAGTGTGGGCGAGGTCTCCGGCAAGGAGACACGGAGCCAGAGGTTGAGCTGATGCGCGGCGTACCGGACCGCAAACGGCCACAGGAAATGGGGGGCAGCCGCATGGATCATGGAGGTACGAGCGACCTCCATGACTAAGCCAATGCGGCACTCAGCAACCCCATTCTGCTGCGGAGAGGCCAGAAGCGTGAACGACTGGCGGATGCCGTGCTCCTCACAGAAGGCTCGCAAGAGGTCGGAGGTGAACTCACCACCTCTGTCAGAGTGCAAACGCAGGACAGGAAAGTCCGACTCGAACCGCTCGCGGAGCTGGAGACGAACAGCGCGGATCCAAGGGATCAAAACAGCAGGGACGTCCCCCTTGCTCTGCAAGGGGAAGACCGTGGTGTAACGCGTGTAGTCGTCGACGACCAGCAGGAAGTACCGCTCGCGGCCCTGCCCCTGGACGCGGGCTGGGCCCCACACGTCCAGGTGGAGAGTCTGCAGTGGAGCCTCTGTGGGAGGGAACGAGGAGGAGTGAGGAGCGGCGCGCTGCCGCCCCTCGACGCAAGGAATGCAGGGCGGCACAGGCGAGGGAGGGAGGGCGGGCAGAGACCTGGGAAGGCCAGAGACCAGAAGGCGAGAGTGCATGCCACGAAGGCGTGGCAGGGAGGGGTGACCAAGGCGGTGGTGCCAAAGGAGAGTCTGGTGCGACAGGCGGAGACATTCACACTGGGTAGCTACCTGAGCGGACGCGTACAGCTGAGGAGACAAAGGGGTGTAGCGCGACACAGTGGTGAGGGTGTGCAGGCGCACGTGTGAACGTAGCCAGGTGGCGGCCAGTCCGAGAGCACGTGCAGATCGCCACACGCTGTCCTCCAGGAGTAAAGGTGTCAACCCAATGATCCTGAAGGACGGCGTTGCTCACCAGGTTCGTAGAGAACGAGGGGAGGTGGAGACCAGACAGCTCACCGGACAAGACCGTCGGACACGGAAGCACAGTAGTGGACCGTGCAAGCACTGGGCCCCCAGAGGGGTCAGCCAGTGAGACAGGGACAGGTGCAGGGAGGGGAGTGACTGTGGTGCTGTCGCGAAAGAAACAGCGGGAAGCACCAGAGTCAAGTGTAAAGGTGTGCAAGGCCTCAGCAGGCGCAGTACCAGAGAGAGCAGACTCACTAGCACCTAGAGCAGCAGCCGCTATACCAGGATCAGGGGGCACACACAGATAACAGCCACCCTCAGTAGTACTAGTCAGAGCATACATGGCAGTAAGGATAGTGTCATAGTCTAGAGCAAAGATATCCACCTTGTTGCGCAGCAGCTCTAGCCAGGGGGGGAGCTCAGCCTCGTCGCCAAACACTGCACGCCAGCCGTCACTCAGACGGGCGAAGCAGCGAGCCTATGTGTGAGAGAGCGTCCCGCACGTCTGACCAGCCCAATCACCTGTGCGAATGACGTACGGGCAGCGGGCAGTACTCCTACACCCCCCACTCTGAGCGTACCACTCACAAAGCTGCTGGCGCGTAAGGGTCTCGCTCGGACGCCGCTGCAGCTGCATCTGGCCACCGCCAGGAACTCCGCACTGACCAGCTCCACCGCGACTGCCACGACGGCCGCCGCCAGCACACCACCTGGCGTACCACTCACGAAGCTGCTGGGGCGTAAGGGTCTCACGCGGATGCCGCTGCAGCTGCATCTGGCCACCGCCAGACACTCCCCACCGAACAGCTCCACAGCGACTGCTACTACGGCCGCCACCACTCCCACTGCTGCCACCACCGCCGTCACCACTCCCACCGCTACTACGAAGGGAAGTCATAGCGGGTAAGCGAGGAGGCGCACGAGCAGCAGCAACAGCAGTAAGAGCAGTAGAGCGGCCCGGTGAGGCTAGGCTGCAGCACCTTTAGCACTCCTAGCAGCACCTCCACGTGCAGCAGTAGTAGCACGAGCAGGAGGGCGGATCGGGTCGGGTAGGGCGGCTCGGCTCGGCCTGGGCTGCGCGGGTAGCAGGGCGCGCGCTGTGTAGGGCAGCAGGGCGCGACGCGCGTGCTGCAGCAGGGCGCGACGCGCAGGGCAGCAGGGCGCGACGCGCGGGGCAGTAGCGCGCGACGCGCGGGCTGCCGTAGGGCGCGACGCGCGGGCTGCCGTAGGGCGCAACGCGTGGGGCAGCGCGCGCGATGCGCGGGCTGCCGCAGGGCGCGACGCGCGGGGCAGCTGCGCACGACGCCTGGGCTGCCGTAGGGTGCGACGCGCAGGGCAGCAGCGCGGGCGTAGGGCAGGGCGCTGGCGCAGGGCAGGGCGCTGGCGCAGGGCGCTGGCGCAGGGCATGGCGCTGGCGCAGGGCAGGGCGCCGGCGCAGGGCAGGGCGCCGGCGCAGGGCAGGGCGCTGGCGCAGGGCAGGGCGCTGGCGCAGGGCAGGGCGCTGGCGCAGGGCAGAGCCCTGGCGCAGGGCAGGGCGCCGGCGCAGGGCAGGGCGTTGGGGCAGGGCAGGGCGCTGGCGCAGGGCAGGGCAGGGCGTGCGCGGGGCAGCGCAACGCGGGGCAGGGCAGGGCGTGCGTGGGGCAACGCGACGCGGGGCAGCAGCAGGCAGCGCGAAGGCTGCAGGACGGCGCGTGCAGCGCAGCACGTCACGGAGGCTAGGCAGGGCGCGCGCGGGCGGCGCAACGCAGGCAAGGCAGGGCGCGCGTGGGCGGCGCAGCGCAGGCAAGACGTGGGGCAGCTCAGTAACCGCAACGGTAGGTGGGCCCGAAAAAAAAAAAAACGGTCCTACGGACCTACTGCTCTGAAACCATGTCAGAAACTACAGGCAGGAATGGTGTGACTAAGGGGAGAATGTGGTACAAGTATGAAACCCTAAAGGGGTTGTACCCCTTAGTGGCTACCCCACTGTAGCCTACACAATCTACAAAGCATATAGAGTTTAACAACTTTCCCAAAAACACAGGGGGGCGGAAAATGCGCATGCCACCAACAGTGCCAACTATAGTGGCCCTGCCACCACCTAGGGATACGGGGGTGCCATGCAACAACCAAACAGTACGGTCACAAGACCAGTCTCAAAGAAGCAAAGCTCAGGGTGGATCACAACGTCACCGCACACTCTGAGC